CACTTCCAGGTGTCATTGTAATATATCCCCCCACTTCCAGGTGTCATTGTAATATATCCCCACACTTCCAGGTGTCATTGTAATATATCCCCCCACTTCCAGGTGTCATTGTAATATCTCCCCCTAAACCTTTATAGCAGTTGGAGAGTTTGGCCACCCTTAGGGTTAATCTTTTGTTCTGCACCTAGAGTCCCAGTCTTGCAGGTGGCACTATAACCGAGTGGTTTTGATCTAATGATCAGTGCTGTGTTTATTAATGAGCAAAAGAGATCATTTCATACTACACCATTGAACTAACGGGGAACAATCAGGATGCAGCATTTTTTAAAATTTTCCATTGACCAACATTTTCTATTTATATCTCCCGAAGAGAGACCCCCCAAGTGGGAGGAGGCAGGGTAGCCCATAGAGGCCACAGAACCTCCCCTCCGACATCAGGACAAAAGGCTGAGAAGCGATATCACCTGATTATGATCCTAAAAATGTTACTCAAAAAACGTTAAAAAAATTCTGATGCCTTAAGGGCCCAGTCACACTAGTTGCAGTGCATTCCTGCCCGATTCCAGCCAGAACGCACTGCCTCACATTACGGTCGGGTCCCTTTTTTGCGGTGCGATCAAAATGCTGCAAGTACTATTTTGATCGCACCGCACAAGACCCGGACCGCAGGCACAATGTGCCTTGCGATCCCGTGCGGTGGATCGCATTGCGGCCGGGGGGCGTAGCTACGGCGCCATTCACTTGAATGGCCCACCACGCTTCTCTTGCCCGGCAAAAAGTGAGCCGACCGTAATGCGAGGCAGTGCGTTCTGGCCGGAACGCACTGCAACTAGTGTGACTGGGCCCTTACAGGCAGATGTTACAAGTCTGCCAATGTAAAAATTCTACAGATCTAATGGAAAATGTAAAACCGCGGGAGCCACTAGGCTTGAACTGTAAAAAGAAGAATAAAGCGGATGATTCCCTTTCATAGCTGCAGGTACCAAGTCGACGAGCATCTCATTTGGTTTGCAAATGAGCCTGTAGAAGACCTCTGCAACTTGCGATTGGCTGCCGGGGCCGCTGATGATGCTGAGTTTGCCTTTGACTCCCTACTTGGTGATGGATTGCTGTTATCACAGTTCACAACACTTTATTCCTCCGATCCTCTGCAGGCTCTCACAGATAATAGGCATAATGTCCGTAATCTACTTCCAGAAAGACGGGGGGAAAAGTACATGACTTGCAGCTTATGAGGAGCAATAATGTTCTCAAGGTCTTCCATATAAGTGGCCGGCAAATGGCTGAAATAAAAGTATGATTGTGACATTCTAATAATAAATGCATATGTGATCATCTCTCTCCCTTTGTGATTAATTTGTACTCATGAAGCACATAATGTTCACTATCTTTTGTATACACATACACTTCTGCACATTCCAGCCAAAAGCTTGTGCTCTCACGACCATCGCATCTATTATATGGCAAAAAGAATGTGGACCCCCCCCCCTCCAAATGACTGAGTTCAGGTGTCTCCACTGAAGGGTACTGCTGAGATTCATACATTGTAGACCATTGAGCTCTTCCAGCCTTGTGGTCACAGTTTAGTGAAGACCCTTTCCTGTTCCACCATGACCACCCCCTGTGTACAAAACCAGCTGCATAAAGACATGGTGTGACCAGTTTGGTGAAGGTCCTTTTCTGTTCCACCATGACCGTCCCCTGTATATAAAGCCAACTCCATAAAAGACATGGTGTGACCAGTTTGGGTTCCTAAGGTATTCTAAACTGAGGCCTCATTCACAGCACATACAGATCATGTCCAGACCAAATTGTTTCCGGACCCAAAATGCACCCTAATGTATCCCTATGCTATTTCTGGCCACTGTTCACACCAGCGCAGCCTGTTCCAGACCAGACAAAATGGGACATGTAGTATTTTTCTGGTCTGGTCTAGAACGGACTGCGTGCAGGTTCACACCATTTTCCGGACCAGATCTGGTCCGGAAAATGGTGTGAACCTGCCCTGATGGTAAATGTCTGCATGAGAAAATGAGCACTTCTGACACCAAAAAATGCACTCCCTATTGCTCTCTATTTAACTCACACATAGCCAGATAAGGCTAAGACCTGTCGCATCTCTTTCAGTGGGACTTTTTTTTTTTTAGACAGACATTGGTGGCTTTAGACTTATAACATGACAAGTATCCAATATTCCTTACCTTAAACTTTCTACCACCAAAGCATAGTGGATGATGGATATGAGTGGTGTGTTATAACAATGCATTATAAAGCCAAGAACGAGGAGACAAGTGGGGTTATATTTTAAAGAGACCCTGCCACTGCAGGAAAGGGGGACAAACTGCTACAGGTATGAAGTACAGGCACCAGAGGTGCAAACAGCTGAAGCGGCCTCCCAACCTTCCTTCATCATGGTTCTTTCCTCCGACCTCTCCATCACTGCTGAGTCCTGTAGCAGCATAGGAGGTTGGAGGAAGAAACCACAGGGCGTGGAGTAGGACACGGGTATCCTAAACCCCGGAAGCGTTGAATTTTTAAACATGCTTATGGAATCAGCAGCATTGAACTGGAGGGAAGATAGGAAACAAGGGCCACAAGAAAGGTGAATACACTACTTTTATTGCAGGGAACTGGCAGTTTCATTCGGTTACAGGGTTACTGGCAAAAAACAAAAATAACCTAAAAAAACTTAAAATTGGTCCTAGTGGTCAGCACACATGTCTAGCAGTTCAGGAAATCTCCAAGAGCAATAAAGAGTGACTGCTGATCATTTAAGTGATACTTCATCCCCAAATGTTTTTTTACATTTGGATAGAGTGAAGGGTTAAATCCTTTCTCAGGTTTTATTGCTGTCTGCAACCTCAATAGAAAAAGATTCCTCCTCATTTCCCGTTCCAAGAGACTACCAGATTCCTGTGAGCTGAACTTCCTGCTTCTCCTCTCCAGGGAGCATTATCTATATACTGTATACCTTTAAAGAACTCACTAGGGGCCAGTGGTGGTGTTAGTGCTTCCCAAGAGGGTTTCTCTGTGCGAATACATGGAGGATCCACACTAGAGCAGCAAATTATGCCAGCCAAGTGTTATCAATACCAGAAACTGAACATAGCAAGCCAGGCAGTCAGAGATATAATGTTATAATGTGGCAAAATGTGGACACCTGTCTATCACAACTACTACAATAGGCAAAAGTATGAGGATCCCTCCTCCAAATGATACATTCAGGAGTTTCCAGTAAAGGGTTCTATTGAATCTACAGCATACAAAGACATTTTATACAACTGTACGCTTCCAACCTTGTGGTAACAGTTTGGCGAGGGCCCTTTTCTGTTCCCTGTGTACAAAGCCAGCTCCATAAAAGGTATGTTTGACCAGTTTGGTGTGCAAGAACTCAAGCGACTGGAACAAAGCCCTGACCTCAACCCTACTGAACACCTTTGGGGTGAATTGGTATGCCAACTGCAAATCAGGTCTAACATCAGTACCTGACCTCACAAATGCTCTTTTGAAATTCACACCGACACCCGCCAACGTCTTGTGGACAACCTTTCCAGAAGGGCAGAGGAATGATTTGAGAATAGGATGTCCAACAAACTCATATAGGTGTGATGGTCAGGTGGCCACAAACTCAGGGTGTACTAATTTTGCACAGATAAAAGGGCTACAAATACCTACGAATCTCACAAGCCTTAGGTCAAATGTGTTAGTCTGGTAGTCTTTGGCCCTCGTGTAGCACTTTCAAAGTAAACCTGTCAGGAGAAATATGAAGGCCACCATATTTTACTGCCTTGTCAAACGTTGCCTGGCTATGACACTTCTGGCTTCAGGATTTACTAAGGGAACAAGTATTCATATCAGTGAGGTTAGGAGTCCTTCCTTGCATACCAATTCCAGGTCTGGAACCAGTCGATGATGGCCAGGCAAGTAGATGTTTTAGGACATGTCAGCAATGGCAGCTTTCTCTCAGTACAGGTTTCCATTAACCTGGTCACATATATGAGATATCATCTTCTTTTGAAGGCTACTCATGTTCCTGGGTTCCCTGCTTCACCCACATGTTGCAGGAATTACCAATGGGGTTATGACTCCGTTAGTTACTTTGATTATGAAGGAGGCATCAGGAAGAAGAAAAAAACACATTGTAGGGGGTAAGAGCATATTCAGAAACAGCTCAGTTACACCCCCAACAGTTGTAAGAAGCCAGTGGGTGATTTACCAAAGGGAAACCCCCCCCCTGTAACAGATATCAGTTTTGGGTGAAATGACCCATTAAACACTAGTGGACAGCCGCGACTAACACGGTCAATAAAGCCCATATTTCGCCAGTCACAGCGGCAAAGGCTGTAAGTCTTGCCGCCGTGCAACCTTTGCCAGGCGCTCCTTACCGCTGATGTCTGATGACAAGAAAGCCAGTCCTTAATTCTGGGAGGCAGGAGGATCCTCGTTCCAGTCCACCTCTACACATCAGCTTTACCATCAATGAGCCAATTATCTGCACCCCAGACATAATTAAGTCACTTCCCCTTCTGTGGCTTTATAAGTGATATTGACAAAGTAAGATGTACACAGCCTCTGTGCAGTGTGCGTGCATTGAGCAGTGTCATCACATGAAAGGACCGCACATCGGGGGGGATAGCAAGACACAGGCTCTGCAGTCAGTAGTTGATGATTATCTTGGAAGGAGCTGGGAGGGGGAAGAAGACCTCCATTTTCCATCTGAATAGGGCACAGCTTGTAAAGCCCCCCTCCGCCTGCTGGCAGATGGGACTGGG